TGCTGTCCGCACCTGCCCCGCGGGAGCGGGAGGCCGGTGGGCGCGGGGCCGCAGCAGGGGAGGGTCGGGGGCAGCTCCTCGGGTGCCTGCGGGGCGCTGCCAGGAAGGGGCAGCGTGGTCTTCCTGGTGTCGGTCGGTCCTCTTCCCGCTGCTGCTGTCTCGGTGTCCGCCTCCCCGCGGAAAGCACCCGCCTGAAACCGTGGTGTGAAGGCCGGCAACTGGAGAGAGGGGGCTTCACTAGCTGGGGTAGCGAGGAGTGGGACGCAGGGGCACGGCCGTCTTTCCCGCATCCTGCCTGGCAGTCCGATGGGGATTAACCCCTTTTACCCCAGCGGGTTACGTGACTCGGGGCCGGGACTTGTTATTTCGGCTGTCAGTCTGGCAATAGGTAAATTCCCCACATTGTTGTTTGAAATGGGGAAGACCTGGTGTCTTGCTCCAAGTCGGTAAAGCCTGACTTCTGGAGTACAGCCCTTGTGTTCCAGGGCTGTGGTTTTGCTGACATTTTCAATAAGAAGAATGGTATCAAATGAGGTATTGCATTTCTAAAAAATAGAGAGAAGGATGGTGGTAAAATAGTTTACTGCATTAAAGTTGTGATAGCAGATAACTTCTTGGCAGGACCAAAAAAGAGTAATGAAGAAAGAAGGCAGCGCAAGCATAGATATTGGCAAACAGCTTTTAATAAATAGATCATGTTGGTAATGCTGTTGCAGGAATGGAAAATACAAAATATGTAATACTTTAAAGCAGAAGACTGCAATCACTGAGGCATTTATGGGCATTTCATTGTTTCATTTCTGGCGAGACAGTTTTAGGAGAAGGCAGTAAATAGCTAGTGGAATGAACTTTCCTTTGATAAACCTACTCATGTTGCTGAGATATCAGATCTTATCAAGGAAGTGTAGATAATTCATAGTCACACATGAATAAAATTTTGAAATGAGACCTGAAAATTTTTTAGTAAAGCTAGGGAAAGTGGAAATAGTAAGGGACTGACTGAAAGAGATGTCATAAGGCATTTCAGAAGAGATTAACTGGAAAGAGAACTGAGGAATTTTGTTTGGAATGGGTATGGTTAATAACTTCATTTCTGCCTTAAACACTAAAGATCACTCTGGGCCAGTTTAATTGGCTGCTAATTCATCAATTGATTTGGATTTTGTATAAAAGGAAATAAATGACCATAAAGTTCAGTATATTGTTACTTCATTGTAGCGCTCCAATATAATTGATAAGACTTGAAACTCAGCAGTGGGAGTGATTGAGAAGAACTATCCTGGATGTGTCCTAGCTCATCTTAGGAGGGTTGAGAGCCACTGAAATCTAATGGATAAAAGGTTACAGAGTATTAAATAATCTATGTGAAGGAGCTCTTAATAAAATGTCACCTACAATGTTAATGAACTCAAATTGTGGTGACATATGCAGTTAAACATATGCATCGTCACTTACAGCAGTGCAAATTCCCTTTATGGGTTGGGAACTCCGAATTCTTGGGTCTCTTAAATGTAGCAGTTACTGTCAATAAAAATTTATATAATGAAAAATTTCTGGGACTTTCGGTGAAACAAACCAACAAAAACTTGCTTGAGTAGACAGTATTTCTGTTTGCAAGTAAAGCCTATGTTTAAGTATGTTTGGCTGGATTTTTTTCCTTATGATAATTTGCTGGATATCTTTTTATTGTGAGCCTGAATGTTTTCTCCAGCACTGTGTTAATGTGTTGCAGTCTGATTGCATAGGCACTGAAGTTTAGAAACATTTCTGAAAATAAGTGCAACTCTTGCCTTAGGAAAAATTGTCTGGTTTTCAAAGTTAATGTTTTTACTCTTGTTATATATTTCTAATACCATGGCTTTATAGCAAGGACTAAGAAAGTGTAAAGCAAAGCTTTTCAGATAAGTGAAATAATAACTGAAGTTTGAACATGGTGGAGCCTGCTAATGATAAAGTTGATTCTTGGCATAGATCAGCTTACTGAATATAGTGCAGGAAAACCTGCAAGTTCCCATGCATAGCCCTCAAATCAGATTTTTAAGCCATCTGTGCTTTTCTGCGATGGTAGAAAAATAGCAAAAAACACTGAAGTCTCCCCCCAGTTCCTAAACATTTTTGCGCCAAAATTTTCTTTTCTTTTTTTAATGTCATTTCAATATTGGAGAATTTTTCAATATTGGAGAATTTTTGTTTTGGTCGTGGTGGATTCTTTTGGTTTTTAAATTGGCTGTCATCTTGTAACAGCTATAAGCTTTTCAGATGAAAACGCTTGTTTGTAAGCTGTGAAATTATCAAGGAATTCATGCCCAAGATCCTTCTTACTGGTTCGGTCAAAATCTGTTTAGTAACTAGGTATTGTGAAATACAACTTTATCTGAACTACATATCACACATACGAAGTTGAGCAGAAATCTGTAATCATTAAATGATCCTGTGTGTGAAGCTGTGCATGGAAGTAAAAGCTTTGAAGGAAACCTCTCTCTTGTCTGTTTTCTAATACACTGTTCCAAACACTGCACAGTGAGGATGAAAATTAATATCAAGGAGTTGTGCAATTCATTTTGTATTGGCCAAGCTTAACTCTGAATGAAGGAAATATTTGGGTGGTAGAGAGGACAAAACACAACAAAGCATAATGTTAGAAATGCTGCTTTAAACCTTGGTGTTTTGTGACTTCAGTACTTCAGTTCTCATTTGTTCATATCTGTGTTTGCTCTATGACTTCCATCTAGTCAGCCAAAACCACTTTTAATCATCTGTCACTAGTGAAACAATTTACAATTTTGTTCCAAGTTTTTAAGAAGCCAGAGTTCAATGAGCAGCTGTGTTCACCTCTGTGTGAAAAGGGATTCCTGCTCTGATTTCCTTTTTCCGCCTGTTCTTGACTGGTTCTTGTGCTCTTCAGATTCTGTGACATGATTCATTTTACAAAGGTGTATAGTCCCTATGGAGTTCTTTGGTGGATTTTTTTTTTTTCATATTTTATTATTCTAGTCTCTCTCTCTTTTTTTTTTTTTTTCCTTTTTTTTTTCTTTTCCTCCCCTGGGTTAATAAATTCATTTGCCTCATGAAGAAACTTGGTAGGTGCCAAGCTAGTGCAAGTTAAGCAGTGGAAATGTGGCTAGAAGCAGAAGGAAGGGGAGCAAGATCTTTTGGTGGCAGTGAGTGTTCAGGGGTAATTCTGTGAGACTTGATACATGGATCTGTGTCAAGTTCAGAACAAAAATTCTGTATGTTCTTTTTTTGCCTTCTTGGAAGGAAGATTTTTCATGGTCATCTGTTGACCAGACAAATTGTCCTGATAGGCCATCAAGTGGGTACTTCTGTTCAGAAGTGATAGTTAAGTGCTTCAAGTCTTCTAAATACCTTTTTCCCTCCCCTTGCTTTTCTATAGGCTTGTCTTGTTGTTACCATGCAAAGGACAATTTAATGTGCCGTGATGTCTGTGAACAGGTAAGCTTGTTTTAAATTTGGTTTATCCCTCAGAGTTAAAATCATGCCTTTTGACAACAATACAGCAAGATTAGGGTTATAAGCAAATGATACTATATGTGAATCATGAGATGTAATATTGTTATTTAAATGAGAACTTAAAGGTTTAAAACTGTAGTCCTCTCTCCTTTCATGGTGGAAAACATGTTCTGCTGAACAAATCTGAGGTCAGGGTTTTGTCAAGAAGTGATAAGCATGTTAGGAAATGGGAGGGGTGAAGGTATTTTACCCAATTTCTGAATCTTGTTTTCCCAACTTGTTCCCGATTTTGAGGGAATTTAAAATGAAGAACAAGATGTTGGTACTGTTCTTTCTTCCTGACAGTTCTTAGCTAAGCATCTTAGGTACTTATTATTATATATGGCTTTGTGAATCCAGCAAAAATCTGTTTACTTACTCTGTTCATAAGGTAATAACAGCTGTGTGTGCTAAATTCAAGCCTGGCAAATAGTTTTCCACAACTTCTGTTTCGATTTGTACCTTTGTATAGTATGTTGTACAGCTTTGTGTGTTAAATTTATATATATAAAAATTTTACATCAGTAAAGCATGCATACACATATACACATTTTTTTATATTAAGATTGTGCCCTTATATCATACCTGCCCCCTTTTCTTGTTTTTGTTACCCGCTTTGGGGCTATTAAAGCACTAAACCTCATTATGATTAAGTTTATCTGTGACTGTATTAACAAAACTTTTAGTTTAAATTACATTTCTCCCTCCATGATATATTTATAGAATGCAACCAAATCCCCTTTCAGCTTTTCTATTGTTAGGCCAAACAAGAAATCTGGCAGTATCTTTGCGTAATTCCTATAATAATTCTTGCAGCCCTTCGAGCATAAGTTTATCTCTTTGGATACAGGTAAGCAAACCTGTACATGGTATAAACAAAAGTATAGCACTCAGTCTTTAAAATTTTGTTAAAGCTTATGTGTAAATAAGAAAAAGATATCCATTCCTGTATATAAACAAATGTAATTGGCAGGTTTAGTAGCTGTATTGAGAGGGCATTTGGAATAATCTGTCCATTTCTTTATTCTCTTCCATTGTTTTGAAGTTCCCAGTTTATTATGTGAATTCCTGATGGCTCTTCATGAAAGGCCTTGAGCTTTTTACTGTCAAATTTCATCCTATTTCTGTTATACCAGTCCTAATTATTGTGTAGGGTTTTCTGTGGTTTTTGTAAGGTATTCTGATCTTGCCTCTGGATGATCTCTCTCTACTCAGATAATGAGCATATTCAGAGTCTTTGTAGTGACAGGTCTAGAACAAGTCTAAAGCAAGACCGGTACCCTTCAAATTGTTCTATAAGGAGCTGTCTTAGTTACATCAGGCTGGTAGCATCATTTTCTGAATGATCCTTTGATATAGGCCAGCTAACTGGCTGAAGGGATTGTCTACTATTTTTTGCTGATTTTCATGTTCTGTAACTTAACCATTTTGTGCAGCACAATTCAAAAGCTTTGTCTTTGTTGAATCTATTTTGGAATGTATTATTTGATACTTGGCCCCTTGTCTTATACATAAAATTTGTAGGATGAAGGTTTGCATATGTGGGAAGTGACTGTAAGGGAACAGAGTTGGCTGAATTATTTGCCTTTTGTCTTTTCAAACACCTTTTCTAAAATGTTTGCCATGCACTTTTTGCCTTATGTTTACCATCACACTGTACCATCCTGACATGATAATTTATTTAGTAATAATAATAAAATATTTTCCTCCATAAAACATTGAAGTTGCTTGCCAGGGATGGCAGGGAAAGAAAGCAGGCTTGTGCTCCATATTTGTATTTAACTAATGCTTAGGGAATTCCAGCAACCAGGGTGTACAGACAGGAATTTGGGTGTTAACACAGACATTTCTTCTGGAGATGGCCAGCAGGAGGTGCAGATGAACTGCTTGAGACTGCATGCATCCATTACATCCAGCAGGACGGTCTGTGGCACTGGCTGGGCCAACCACTCATGACGTATTCTGTGATTCTGTATGGGAGGTCTTGACCCAGAGGGAGCTCTTGAGGAAGAATGTGTCCATCCAGGTCTTGGGCTGCAGGAAAAGGATGATGTCTCTCCTTGAGTCAGTGGCACTTAAACTGTGGGAGTCATGCTCTGGTCAGTTTCTTGAACTGTCAGATAAAGAACCTGAGGATGGAGGCATTGCCTCAGTGTAAATGGGAGGTAGCCAAGCCCTTCATAGAGAACCTGCAAGGGCAATAACCTGAACTATTGCATTGCATCAAAAGGATTGCCAGAGGCTATGCTTAGTGGAGACTGAAAGTTTGTGTCCCCTGACAGCATGAAGAAATCATAGAATCATAGAATCATAGAATGTTTAGGGTTGGAAGGGACCACTAGTGGTCATCTAGTCCAACCCCCCTGCAGTGGGGCTTGGCTTGTCTTTGGATATGCACTTACAGAATAGATTTCGGGCCTTAGAACAGGTGAGGAGGAACAAGCTCCATCTGGAAGCCATCTTGGCCTAATCAACTTCTTGTAAGCAGTGCCACCAGGAAAAGGCCTCCCTTCTGCAGGGGATGGAGGCACTCATCTGAAGATGAGGCTTGCTGTCTGAGGTGGTTTGGTTTTTAGGGGCTCAGATCTAGGATGTTGCAGAAATTGCAATGTTTTTTTGACCCATTGGCTACTCGGACATGGACACCAGTGTTGAGGGAGGTCTTGCATTGGTAAAAGGTAACTACAGCCCAGGGGCTAGGTTGAAGGGCACCGGAGGCCCGGCGGTGTTGTCCTTGATCCTGCCAGTTAAGGAAAAAGGCTTGATTAGGAGTAAGGAATCCTGCTAATTAGTAATTCTGCCTCTTTAAGTGAGCCCTTCGAAAAAGAAAACTTGGATTACAGGTTTGTTTGTCAACTAACATGATTCAAACATCTAATTATTTTGCATTCTTGGTAAGTGTTATTCCAAGCTTAGTTTCAGTATCATCTCCTTTTCATGATTATTTGATTAAGTCTGTCAGATTCTGTAGCAAGGAGTAAGTGGGTCTGTCTTTCTTTAATTGACCTTTTTTTTCCTAAGTTCAGTTCTGGGAAGTTTCACAACTATAAGGTTCCTGGCAGCTTTTATCTCTCTACCACTGCAGAGATCTCTATCCAGACTGTCCTTCAAGCATAAGAACAGTCCATCCCCATCCACAGGAAAACTCTAATGTTTCAAGACTCTGGCTTGACTAAACAGAGAAGTCGTGAACAAGCTTTAATGCAGAAAGGCAGTATAGAGAAGGCAGAAGCAGGCGAAGGTTATAAAAGAGGAATTTAGAAAGTTTGCCCAGGCATGTAAGGGTATATTGGGAAAGACAAGGCTCAGCTGGAGTTGAGACTTGCAGAGGATATCAAGGGCAACAAGATGTGCTATGGCAGTAGTTAAAGGCTGAAGAAGGAAAAATGTGTGTGACTGCTGCTGAACGCAGCACATGACTTAGTGTCAGCAAACACAGATAAGGAGAGATACTGAATGCCTTCTTTCCTGAATCTCTGTTAGCAAGGTCTGCCAGCCCTCTGTGCATAGAGATGGGGTTCAAAGAGGAGTACTACCAGTGGTGGTTGAATCGGGGTTACTTGAGAAAATTTGACCAATACTAGTCCATGGGACTAGATAGACTGCATCTGAGGGTGCTGAGAAAGCTGGCTGGTGTCACTGCAAGGTTATTCTCTATCATCTTTGAAGGTTGAGGAACTTGGGGGAGGTCCCCAATGACTGGAGAAGGACAGACAATGTACCCATCTTTAGGAAAAAAAAAAAAAAAAAGCCAGAGAGAAATCCCAAAGAATGGTTCCCAATCCAGCAAACAACAGACTAGTAATTTTCTCTTAAATCCTTGGGAAAATCGGGGACAGAGTCCTCTCGGAACACGTTTCTGAACATGCAAGGGGTAAATCATGCCTGACAAACCTGACTGCTTTTGATGATAAGGCTGGATTTGTGAATGAGGAGAAAGGAGTGGATGTCATTTGTGCTTACTTTACCAAGACTTTCAACACTACCTCCCTCAATATTCTTGTATCCATTTTAGGATAATATGGTTTTGATGGATGGACAACTAGATGAGTAAAAAATTGGTTGGATAATCAGGCTCAGAGATAGAGGTTAGTGGGTCATACTCTGCCTGCAGGCTTATAAGAAGTAGAATACCAAAGGGGTCTGTCCTGGGACCTGACCTGTTTAACATCTTTAATAATGACCTGGAGGAGGCGACAGATTCCACTCTTGTTGAGTTTTCAGGCAATGGTAAGCTGGAAGGAAAACTTTATAATCTTAATGTCAGGACTGTCATCTAGAAGGACCTGGAGAGGTGGAAGGAACTGGCCAACAGGAACTTAATGAAATTCAGCAAGGACAAATGCAAAGTCCTGCACCTGGGAAGAAAGAATCGCTTGCAACAATGAGTTGCAGATTGATTTGCTAGGGAGCAGATTTGCTGAAAAAGGACCCAGGGATACTTGTACACAGACAGCAAGCTGAACACGTGCCAGCAGTGTGCCCCAACAATAAAGAAGGCATCCTGGGCTATACTAACAGGAGCATAGCCAGCAGATCTAGAATACTGGACACAGGTTTGTCACCCCTGTTACAAGAAAGACATCAGTTAACTGGAACAAGTTAGCGAAAAGTCACCAAGGTGATCGGAGAGGCCAAGGGAACTGTCTTTAGCCTGGGGAAGGAGGAGCACTTCAGAACAGCTTTCTGGCACCTGTAATAAGATTGCTCAGAATACAGAGCCAGGCTTTTCACAGTGGTACATAGTGGGAGGGCAAGTGAGAGCAGTTATAAATTGAAACCAGATTGTTCCAGCTGGTTGTAAGGAGGAACTTTTCTACCATGAAAACTCAGAGGTTGTGCATTCTCCATCCTCAGAGGTTTTCATGACCTGACTGGATAAAACCCTGAGCAACATGGTCTGGCCTCATAGTTGACCCTGATTTGAGCAGGAGGTTGAAATAAATGATCTTCTGAGATACCTTCCAACCTGAATTATTTCATTATTTTATGACCCCAGAACACCCCAAATACTACTGCAGTTCTTTTCTTGCTCTCATTTCTGAAACCAGTACTATTGTTCTCTTGTTTATCATGTTGCAAATTTAGAATAGAAGTGTAATATATTTCTCTTTCTGAAAGATCTGAAATGCATCCATGTTTCAGTTATTCCTGTAATTTCCAGATTCATATCCCACATTAATAGGTCTGTTTCCATCCCTTTTGTTGCCCAGTTTTTTGTTTTAATTCATAAGTGTTTTACTTAATTGGACTGCTAGAGGAACAAGAACTAAAACCATTATTAATGTGGGGCCAGAAAACAATTTAAAATATGCTAAGAGCTCAGCTTAAGTTAACACTTCCATGAAACTTTAAAAAACAAAACCAAACCACTACCAAAAATATTGATGAGGTAAAGGCATTGTGTAATAAACGGTTAAAACATTGCTACTGTTGTAAGAAAATGAGATGAGCAACACTACAAAATGGTCTGAAGTCACCTGGGAAAAAAAGATACATTTACATGATTCAGAATTGTGTATCAAAGTCAATAAGGTAAGGTAAGATCCCTTCCCAAGTATAGCTATGCAAAATATTTTAAGTTGGAAGAGTCATTTTGTCTAACCTCTTTCTCAGAGAGGTGCTAGCTTCGAAATTAAATGAGGTTGCTTAGGGTCTTGTTAGTCAAGTTTTGAATATCCTCAAGGATGGTCTTTCCACAGCCTCTCTGGGGAATCTGTTCCAGCACTTAACTACTCTCAATGGTGAAGATTTTTTTTTTTTTTTTTTTCCTTTGCATCCAGTCAGAATTTCTCTTGCTGCAACTTGTTACTTGTGCAGCTCATCCTTCCACTCTGCAACTTGGAACAGTCTGACTTATCTTTTCTATAATCTATCTTCAGGTACTGGAAAACAGGAATTTAGATCCCCCCTGCTCCCTTTTAACCCTTCTTCAGTTTGAACAGATTCTTTTACCTTGGCCTGTCTTGGTATGTCATAAAGTCCAGCATCCTTTGTGGCCTTCTACTGGACTCTGTGCAGTTAATCAATAACATTCCTTGCACAGGGGTGGCACAAAACTGGGTTTGGTATTACTTATGTGGCCTCTTCAGTGCCTAATACAAGAAAATGGTCGTCTCTCTTTAACCTGCTGGCAGTGCTGATGCTAATGAAGTGCGGTATGCTGTTAGCCTTCAGTAGTGCATCGGTGCACTGCTGACCCATGTTCAGCTTGTTATCTACCAGGACCCAACACCCTTTTCTGCAAAGCTGTTTTCTAGCCAGTGAGCACCCAGCCAGTACTGTTGCATGGAGTTAGCCCATTTCAGCTGTGATTCTGTGTTTTCCTTTGTTGAACTGCTTGAGTTTCCTGTCAGCCCATTGCTATGGCCTGTTGAAATGCATCTGAGTGGCGGCTATGCCCTCCAGTACATGGATGACAACTCCCAGTTTCAGCTCATCTGTGTACCTGCTCAGGATTTTTTCTGTCCCGTTGCCCGGGTCACTAGTAAAGCCATTAACAGTATTGGTTTGACTCCTGTATTATACCACTTCCAAGTGGCCAACACTTAGACATTGAACTGCTGACTGCTAATCTTTGAGCCCTACAGTTTGTCACCCACCCTGTAGCCCACCCATCCCATCCATATTTCATGAGTCTGGCTCTAAAGATACAGTGGGAGACCATGCAAAAACCTTTTTAAAGTCAAGGTAGACAACATACACCGTTCTCCACTTTTTTTACTAAGCCAGTCTTTTTGTTATGGAAAGCTATCAGGCTAAATTTGCCCTTGGTGTGTCTGTGCTGACTGTTCCCAGTCATCTTCTCTTTCATGTGCCCTGACATGGCTTCTGCCAGGATTTGTTCCACAGTCTTCCTGCTGGGTGAGGTTAGGCTGAACAGCCTGTAATTTCCCAGGTTGTTATTCTTGCCTTTCTAATGGATATGATGTTTGTCTTTTTTCTGTCATCGGGAAACTCATCCAATCACTGTGATCTTTCAAAAATGGTAGCAAAGCTGCCGTGCAATGACGGTGGGTAGCTTCTCAACATCCTCAGTTGGAGGATGAGACTATAGATATATAAAAGCAAATATTAACTTTGCATTATTAACTTTGCATTCTTTGCACATTAACTGTTGGCCAAAGTTGTCTAAGGGTAGGTAGTAGGGGAAAATAAAAGCGATTAAATCAACTGAAAAAAGCATTCAATGTGTAGTTACATTCTATATGTTTTAAGGTGTGTTTTGTTTCTAACAGATTTTGTCTTCTAAGAGTGATTCCCGTTTGAAGCACTTACTGCAGCGAGCACCCGAGTATTGTCCAGAATCAATGGTAAGGCTTGCTAGTTTTTAATTAAAGACAACAAACCAACAACTAATCTTATACTAACAAAGTTTTGCTTGCAAAAATAAGGTTTTAAAATTACTTGTATTTTATTTACTCACTTTTTGAGCTGGTAGAACATGTGTATATGTCTTGAAGCTTTTTCTTCCTTGTTATGAGGACTAGAAAAATTCTTGCAGTGAGACTTGATCCTCAAAATAGGATTTTTTTTTATTTTTTTTTTTTTTGTAAAGCCATCATATATTACACTACTTGTAATAAGACGGGACTTGACAATTTTTCTAGGTGTCCTGGTTGTATAAGCTGTGAAATGCAATGGAAATCCGACCTACGTCATAAAAAAATTGTGCTGGGTGATTGTCACTTGGATGTTGATGGCAACAACTTAAATTACATCGCGTGTTCCAGCTTATGTATGGGACAAAGCTGTAAGGTCTTGGTTGGGCTACAGCAAGGAGACCCTCATAGCTGCTCTGAATGGTTTATGACCGTATCTGACAAACTGAAGTAAAGATTTTATTGGATAACTAAGATTATGGTTTCCTAAAAGTTCTCTAGTATATCACTAAAAAAATGAAGCATGTATTCTACTCCTTGTCTTAAAGATGATCTGATCGGGGAAGAGATAAGCACTACCATTCAGATTGTAAATTCTGGAGTCTTATCTCTTGGCAACTTAGAATATCTCAACATATCTGCTGTCAGAAAGCTCTGCTTCCTTGTTGTAATTTTTGTTATTTCTAAACGGTATCAATACTGTTTCTAGCTAGCCAAAAACATGTACTCAGCTCAAACGAGCAATGTGTAGGAGTAGTAAATCTGAGAATAACATTCTATAAGCAACTTTGCAAGAGTGTGTTTGCTTATAGATCCTTTCCTCCTGTGTGTCAAAAGTATGGTTTTTCTGTGTTTTATTCCTGTGGATCATCAGCTCTAAGGTCTTGGAAAGTTCCAGACAGCTGATGGTATGAGTACAACCTGTGGCATGAAAACATATCAAAGGGGTGAATAGCATTTCGTTTCGTACTGGGTTTCTTTATTTTTTTTCCATGATAGGAAGAGTATAGTATCTGTATAGTAGAGGAGTGCATTTTTAGAAGACAGAATTGCAGAGTATCTGGAAGGGGGAAAATGACTGACACAATTGATTTTTTTTTTTTTTTTTTTTTAACTCCCAATTACCATCTTCATAAATGGCAAGTTTACTGTTCAGTATGTATTTTAATATTGCTGAATTAGCAATATTTATAAACTCCTTAAAAGACATCTAGATATAAAATAGCCAACAGTTCAACTTAATACCATATTTGCTGTTTTCAGATATCACTTGTCTTTATTGGAGAGGTGTTCTAGTGACATTCCACCAATGAGCGGATAGGTTATGAATTTAGTCAGATGGTCTATTTTCTGGAGCACTGGTTATAGACATTGCGTCATCTATATTCTTTCAGGTAATACGATAGAAAAGGTATTGCCTGGTATTTAGTAATACATTAACTGCCAACACAAGAGGCGACTTTATCTTAGTCTCACAGAATCATTTAGGTTGGAAAAGACCCATAAGATCATTGAGTCCAACCATTAACCTTCTTGTGAAATAAAGGAAGTCAACTGAATCAATGGAGTGAAACTAGTAGAGGTAGCAGCTCTTTACTTTTCTTTTGAGCTGACTTGGACTCTATCAGTGGGATTTTCCCACTTAGACAATGGAGGAGGACAGTTTTAGATCATTAGATACAGATCCATTGCAACTTCAGAAAGTCATTAATCCCTGTGATGACAGAATCATTGCATGACAATATGGGTTGCTGTTTCAGTGTGATTGAGTTGAACTTTTCATTTTGTCCTTAAAAACATGTTAAAAAAAACACTCTTTCATTTAAAGCCCCTTTGGTGTGTTGACTTTGGCTGCATGCCAGGTGCCCACCAAGCCGATCTAGCACTCCACCTCCTCAGCTGGACAGGGGAGAGAAACTATGATGAAAGGCTCATGGGTTGAGATACCGACAGGGAGAGATCACTCGCCAATTACCATCACAGGCCAAACAGATGCAACTTGGGGAAATAAATTTAACTTCTTGCCAATCAAAAGGTCACAGTAGGATAATGAGACATGAGAAAAAAAATCTAAAACCACCTTTCCCACCCCTCCCTTCTTCCTGGGCTTAACTTAACTCTTGATTTTCTCTACCTCCTCCCCCTGAGCAGCGCAGGGGGACAGGGAATGGGGCTGCGGTCAGTTCATCACACATCTCTGCCGCTCCTTCCTCCTCAGGGCGAGGACTCCTCACACTCTTCCCCTGCTCCAACATGGGGTCACTCTCACAGGAGACAGTCCTCCATGAGCCTCTCCAGCATGAGTCCTTCCCATGGGCTGCAGTTCTTCACAAACTGCTCCAGTGTGTGTCTGTCCTTTCCATGGGGTGCAGTCCTTCAGGAACAGACTGCTCTGGCGTGGGTCCCCCGTGGGGTCACCAGCCCTGCTAGCAAACCTGCTCCAGCATGGGCTCCTCTCTACACGCATCCACAGGTCCTGCCAGGAGCCAACGGGTCACAGCCTCCAGGCATCCACCTGCTACGGTGTGGGGTCCTCCCTGGGCTGCCCGGGGACAGCCTGCCTCACCATCATCTTCACCACGGGCTGCAAGGGAATTTCTGCTCTGGCCCCTGGAGCACCTCCTCCCCCTCCTTCTTCACTGATCTTGGTGCCTGCAGAGCTGTCTATCTCACATATTCTCACTCCTCTCTCTCCCAGCTGCTGCTGTTGCACAGCAGTTTTTATTCTTTCTTAAATACATTATCCCAGAGGTGCTACTACCATTGCTGATGGGCTCAGCCTTGGCCAGCAGCAGGCCCATCTTGGAGCCAACTGGAACTGGCTCTTTCAGACAAGGGCGAAGCTTCTGGCATCTTCTTACAGAAGCCACCCCTGCAGCCCCCCTGCTACAAAAACCTTGCCATGTAAGCTCAATAAACCCCTTAAGACTTGTCACTTGCCTTTTTACTCTCTGCAGAATTTTCCTGATTTCATCTAATTAAGGTTTTCCTAGTGCTTGCTTAAAAAAGACTGAATTCAGTAACTACTAAAATACTAAAATGTAATCCTTCAAGGCTTTTCTGTACTCTTGTTGTTTTAAATACTATACTGTGATGATATTGTGTAAGTGTTGTGAGACTCCAGTTGTTGGATGTTAAACATCTAACATACAGTGTATAGTAAGTCCCATAGCTTTTAACTCTTCTGGCTTTTAACACAGCGCACCTGCTGTAACTGCAACATGTACTTGTTTCTGACAGTTGAACTAAAATTCTTACTTTAGATGGAATTCTTCCCCTGCTGCCTAAACCTCCTTCTTCCAGGACATTTTTCACTTCTATCGGGTGGGTAACATAAGTACCTGTAGCAGATCAGTGTCTGACCTGTGATTTCTTTTATACTAGCCCCAGTGTAAAGAATCCCCTGTAGTCATCTTGGCTAGTCGTCTCGGTAATAACAGTAATGAGAGAAATGGGGATGGCAACTCTTAGGTAAGCTCCTCACCTTCTTTTTCTGCCAAAAAACCCCAAAACAAACAAAAAACACCACGTTTACGGAATTATTCTGCCTAATACCATCAGTCACTTAGGTCATTTAGCAGAACCTGTCCTTAGGACCAGAAGTACTTTGCAGTTGGGGTTTACCTAACATCCCTATTGTGACTTTTCATGTTAGTAAACTTCACTTATACAACTCTTTCTCCTGTGTATTTATATTTCCCCAAGCTACATTTCTCTGGTCTCTGGGGTACCTTAAAACCTCTTTCTTTTGTTTTGTGTGTGGTTATATGTGGTGTTTGGGGTTTTTTTTAAGCTAGTGGAAAGGAGTGCTAGGGCAAAAAGCTTTTCCACAGGTCTTGGTGCTAGATAAATCTTTGTCTAAAGAGTTGCTACATAGTTCTCTAAACACTGGTGGAGAAAGTTGACAGGCTATCATATTCCAGGTAATCACATCACGTTCTGCAGCTACAAAACCACTGCTATTGATTCCATACTCTGTAGATGGCAGCCTCCTCGTCAAAGCAAGTGGAAATCAACTTGTATCACATAGCGCTTCTTCAAAAGATGTTTTAGACATAAGAATTCTTCCAGTAGGATGTTTAAAACAAACAAAAATGCCAAAAATGCTGGTTTGTGTCTGCTAGAAACTCTCTTGTTCTATAGACTTACTTTTGCTTAATTGCATTTTACTTTTCAGGGAGAAGTGTGGGGTTGTATAAATTCTTCTTTGCCAGGTAAGAAATACTAGTTTACTGTTGAATCATGTTGTTTTTTCATGATATGCACATTTTGATTTGCATTGACCACCTGCACCTGTAGATCTTGTGATAATTTAACTTTCATTATGCTTCCCTTATAAACTGTGTTTGATTCCTTTAGTCTAAACTGGGTTCCCTGTGCTTTTTTTAACACTTCTTTTCCTAGTTAGAAAATTTGTATGATTAAACATGTATGATTCTGTGACACATCTAAGAAATATCAAAGTTTCTTTCCTTTAAAGGTTTTCCTATTATTTTTATTTTCAGTATACCTTCATAACCTGATATATAAAATCATGGATTATTGCAACTTCGCTCTAGATCTAGTATAATTTGGAAAAAAAAAAAAAAAAGTAACAGGAGGAAATGGTAAGATATAGACAAAAAAATAAGAATTGCAGAGCTCAGATCAAGAACCAAACTGCTTGGTACAGGTGGATTTAGAAGGTTAAAGCATAAATCACAAGACAGGACTTCCATGTTAAAAGGAGAGGTCAAAAATGGGTGAAATTGGACTTAACTAGGGCTATTGTATCATATGGTGTCGTGGTTTAACCCAGCTGGCAACTCAGCACCACGCAGCCGCTCGCTCACTCCCCCCCCTCCCTCAGTGGGATGGGGGAGAGAATCGGAAAGAAAATAAAAGGTTAGAGCCGAGGGCTGAGATAAAGACAGTTTAATAAGAGAAAATAATAATAATAGTAATAATGAGAATGATAACAGAATATACAGAATATACAAAACGAATGAGGCACAAGGCAATTGCTCACCACCCACCGACTGATGCCCAGCCTGTTCCAAGCCACCATCACGCCGGAGCCCCGAGCAGTCTCCCCGCGACCGACCGACCGAACTAAGCCCCCCCCCAAGCATGACGTTATATGGTATGGAATAGCTCTTTGGTCAGTTTGGGTTAGCTGTGCTAGCTGTGCTGTACTCCCAGCTTGTTATGCACCTGGGCAAGCAGGAGAAGCTCAAAAAGTCCCTGAGTAGTCTGAGCACTACTTGGCAACAGCTGAAAACATCAGTGTGTTATCAACATTCTCCTGGTACTAAATCCAAAACACAGCACTATGCTAGCTACTATGAAAAAAATTAGCTCTATCCCAGCCGAAACCAGGACATTATCCACCCCTTATTCTATACCATTTACGTCATGCTTAGGTCCTACCCTTACAATACATTCCAATTAATCACCACCACTTTCCCATTTTTT